CATAATAATTTGATCATTCAGTGTATAAAAAGCCCTCACACCATAACAATGGATCACTAGGAGGCTGCATGTTCATCAGGTATGTGCAGGTGGGCAGAGACTTGACTCTGGGTCTCATGGCTCTGGTGGGACTTGACGCTGTATCCCATACCGACCCAGACTGACAGGAGGGAGGAGGACGCCAGATACCCACAACATTAAAATATTTCCTCTAATTAATTCCCTCTTAATATGCACGAATTTTGTGCACTGGGCCACTAGTTTTTCTATAACATGGAATAATAATACCTGCCTCTGAGTTTGTTAGAAGAATCAGATAAGATTGTCGTACCACTGCATTTCAGCCAAACACGATTCTTATAGTAACTGCTCTACTGCTCAGAGCCCCACAATTTAAGAGGGACTTTGACCAATCAGAAGCAGCTTGGTCTAGAAACCAACTAATGTATCAGCTGAAGAGCTGGGACTTTAGCCCCTTACTGGGGGAAAATATGCCAACAGAGGACTTTTATCCAGAATATATAAAGAATCCCTAAAACTTAACATTAAGAAAACAAACAATTCCCATTAAGAAACATGCAATGCCAAGACCGGTTTGGCTCAATGGATAGAGCATCGGCTTGGGGACTGAAGGGTCCCGGGTTCGATTCCGGTCAAGGGCATATCCCCAGTAGGGGGTGTGCAAGAGGCAGCTGATCAATGACTCTCTCTCATCGATGTATCTAACTCTCTATCTCTCTCCCTTCCTCTCTGTACAAAATCAATAAAATATATTTTTAAAAAAGAAAAAGAAAAAAGAAACATGCAAAAGGCTTTAACAGTTACTTCACATATAGCAAATAAGCACATGAAAAAAATGTTTCACCTTCCTAAGCCGGTAAGGAAATGGATATAAAGCTATCAGAATACTAAAGTAAAAACACTGGCAATACCAAGTAAGGAATAAAGCAACTGGTGGTAAAGCCACTTTGGAAGTGGTGGTTTCATAAAGATAACCGTACATCTATTATATTTATTAATTTCATATGGTCAGTGTAACAAATTGCCATAAACTTAGTGGCTTACAGGGATCAGGCTGACACCAGCTATCTGACATCCCCTGGGGGGTCCTGGATTGTGAGAGGGTGCAGGTCAGGCATCTAGTAGTAGTATATCAATGCCAGTCCCTGGCTTTGAAATTGTTTTATGGTTCTATAAGATATTATCAATGGGGAAAGCTGGGTGAAAGATATATGGAATTCTGACTATTTTTGTAACTTCTTGTGAGTCTTAAATAGTTTAAAAAGAAAAAGTTAAAAAACAAAAACAAAACAAAGAAAGAAAGAAATTTATTCACTCCGTAGGTGATTAGTCCAAAAGTAAGGGTGGGCTTTAGGCGTGGTTTGAATAGAAGTTCACAATGTCCTCGGGCTTGTGACTACATCGTCTGAGATTCTGCCCTCCATTTGTGTTGGCTTTCTCCTCAGACTGACTTTTCTCATGGTACTAAGTTGGCCACCAGCATTCCCTTCTATTCACCAGGAGGAAAGAGGGAGCTATATTTTCCTTCAGTTGGGGGTAAATATAAAGGCCTGAGCTCTATTCTGACTGGATAACTTAGGTCATGTGCCCACCCCTAAACCAATCACTGAGCGCAGGGAAATGCTATGAACTGATTTCCCATCCACATGGCAAAGAAATGGGATCACTTGATCGGCTCAGATCAATCAGGTGCCACTCCTGTCACTGAGATGGAGCCAATGCCACCCTGCTATAATTGCTATTACCAGGTAGGGAAGGGGGAAAATGGATTTGGATAGCCAATTCCAATATCTAGTTCATCCTTCTTGAAATTCAGTCTTCCCTTGGTTTCAGAGGCACCATTCCCCCCTCCCCCTGCCCCCAGATATCCTCCATCAATTGATCTTATAGTATAAGAGTTTTCTAGACAGAGAAGATATAAAATGTCATTCTAGAAGAAACAGCACAAAGACCCAGAGATGTGAAGGAATGGACCCATTTAGGGAACAGTGAAAATTTTGGTGTGGCAAAGCATAGAGTTCATGAGGGAAAAGTGGTTAGCAATAAAGCTGAAGAGTAGAGATGGGACCAGTAGTGAAGAGCTTTGAAGTATCACAGTCGATGGTAAGACATTTGAAGATTTTTGAAAAAGAACAGTCCCTGGGCCGAAACCGGTTTGGCTCAGTGGATAGAGCAGCAGCCTGCAGACTGAAGGGTCCCGGGTTGATTCCAGTCAAGGGCATGTACTTTGGTTGTGGGCACATCCCCAGAGGGGGGTATGCAGGAGGCAGCTGATTGATGACTCTCATCGATGTTTCTAACTCTCTATCTCTCTCCCTTCCTCTCTGGAAAAAAAAAAAAAAAAAATCAATAAAATATATTAAAAAAAAAAAAAAAAAAAAAAAAAAAAAAAAAAAAAAAACAGTCCCTGGACTCACTTGACCTTAGAAAGATCTTTCTGGATAGCCGGGAGGGGCCTGACTAGAGGTTGTTCCAGTGCTCTGGGCAGGACATGAAAGCCTTCCCGAAGGTGGTGGCCTTGAGGATGGAGAGAAATGGATGAACAGGGCCGACAGGGAGGTGGTGGAATCAGCAGGACCCGGGGGACTGCTTGGCTTTGTGAAGGGACTGGAGGAGAAGGTGTAAGAGATGACTCACATTTCTGGCTGAACACTTGATACATTTTTTTAAGGCAGGAATGCCCAATTCTGTCAAAAGCTGATAAGTCTAGGGAGATAAAGATTTATAAATGACCATGGATTTAGTGACAAATGCTTTAAGGTATGGTGGGGGCAGAACCAAGAATATTGCAACAGAGTAAGTCAGGGAAGTGGAGAATAATAAAGCCAAGTGAGCCTCCTTTCAAATTCAGATATAAGAGGAGGAGAGGATAAAGCAATAATAAATTTTTTAAAAGTCATGGAATCTTAAAATAATGTATGTTTTAAAATTTTCCAGCACTTATCTGCATACTGGTTGTGTAGTCAGCTTGCATCCTTATCTATTAAATTAGTTTTTTAATACTTACCTCATGGGTTTATGTTGAAGATTAAGTCTTCATATCTAACAGTTGTGTAGTCTGTCTCCCCCCCTAATTTGAAGTTCATTAGGAACATTGATAGCTCCTAGTGCAGGGCATGGTATATTGCTAATAAACTAATAAATATTTGTTAAATGAGTGTTAAGATTCTGAGCACAGTCCTACCTGCCCAAGGTAAGCGCTCAGGGAGGTCAGCCAGGGTGTGTGAGCCTGAAGGGAGGAATGGGATGCAGGAGGAAAGAAACCCTATGCCCTCAGCTTGCTGTTTTCCAGAACCCGAGGAAATGTCCCCTGACTGCCAGGAGGAGACTACAGGCAAGTTGGTGGAGATACCGGGAGTGAATTCTCTAAGGCAGAGTCACCTCTTCCTGAACTCACGGCTGGACTGCCATGAGGAGCAGGCGATGGACCCCAAACGCCTCTTCCAGCACTGCTTCAGGGACACGGCGACTACCCGGGACCTTCCTGGCAGCCCCGAGGAGGCCCTCTGCCCAACCTAATCGCCCATGGACCAGACCCATAGACATCCAATAAACTTCTCTCCGCCATCCTCTTCCGGAGTCTCTTTTCAGTGAAAGGTGGGGGTAGGGACGATCAAAGGGACTTGCTAAAAATGAGATTAACGAGATACATAAAGGCTTTTTCCCAGCCAATCTACTCAAGGCCTGCTGTGGACCCAGCTATTCTGCCCTGCCTGGCCCACGGTGAGCCAAAGGGAGTTCAGGCATGGTTCGATTCTAGTCAAGGGCATGTACATTGGTTGCGGGCACTTCCCCAGTGGGGGGTGTGCAAGAGGCAGCTGATCGATGACTCTCTCTCATCGATGTTTCTAACTCTCTATCTCTCTCCCTTCCTCTCTGTACAAAATCAATAAAATATATATATATATATATATATATATATATATATATATATATATATATATATATATAAAACAAACAAACAAACAAATAAATAAGAAGCCCCAGGGCCTGTAGAAGCTCAGAAGAACCCTTCACCTACCTGAAGAGTCAGAATCCTGACTTGTTCTTCCTGCCACAGAGCAGGTATATTTACTCAGGATACCAGGGAAGAGGACTGGGACTCGAAGGCAAGAGACTCCTGCCTCTCCAGCAGCTCTGCCCCACTCTTAGAGGGAGCCCCTTGCCAAGGAATACAATGAGAGGGAACGTGGAGGACATAGAGCCTCACCATGTTTGATATCATTCAATACCTTAGGTCAGTGGTCGGCAAACTCATTAGTCAACAGAGCCAAATATCTACAGTACAACGATTGAAATTTCTTTTTTTGAGAGCCAACTTTTTTAAAACTTAAACTTCCTCTGACGCCACTTCTTCAACATAGACTCGCCCAGGCCGTGGTATTTTGTGGAAGAGCCACACTCAAGGGGCCAAAGAGCTGCATGTGGTGTGAGAGCCGCAGTTTGCCAGCCACAGCCTTAGGTGGATGAAAAGAGGGAATCAAGGAGTGAGTGAGAAAACGAATGGTGAGCAGACCAAACACAGGCTCCACAGCGTGGGCCCGTGTGTTCTTGGCAAAGTCCCCCCGTCTCCCTGAGCCTCGGTTCCCTCGCTGGGTGAGGGTGAGTGTTCAGAGATGATGGCTACGAACCCCCTTCATAAACATGGAAGTACTACACATACTTTAAAATTAAAAATGGATGTTTTTCAATAGCAAGAGCAGGTCGTCTGGAGCCACATGCCTGGTTCAAATCTTGTCCCTGCTCATCCACCTGGGTAGGTATAATGGCTGTACCTACCTTCTAGGATTTGGGAGGATTAAATTACTTTGTTCATGCAAAGTACTTAGAGCAGAGTTAGAAAATGGAAAGCTTGTTGTTGTTGTTGTTTTTTCCTTAAATTAAGCTGATAGCAAAGAAATCTTAGGGCAGGATGCTGACTGCCACCCCTCTCTCTCTCTCATTTGTTCTCTTTAAATTTATTTTGAAAATCGGTTGACCCCCTCCCTTCCCCGCCCCCGGCCTGGCTGTGGATCATGCCGCCCGTGGCGGCCCCGACTGCCGAGGGAGCGGCGGCCTAGGACAGTTGGCTGTTGGGTGACACTGGTTCCCCCCGCCCCGCCAGACGTTTAAGAGGCGCGTCCCCCGCCGCGTGACGGGGTGGGGAAAGAGGTATCGTCTTTATCAGAAAGTGAAGAATCTCAGGACTCATCTGATAGCATCGGCTCCTCACAGAAAGCCCACGGGATCCTAGCCAGACGCCCATCTTATAGTTGCCATTGCCCCCAATGGAGCCTTACAGCTGGCCAGTCCAGGCACAGATGGAGTACAGGGACTTCAGACACTAACCATGACAAATTCAGGCAGTGCTCAACAAGGTACAACAATTCTCCAGTATGCACAGACCTCTGATGGACAGCAAATACTTGTGCCCAGCAACCAGGTGGTTGTACAAACTGCCTCGGGAGATATGCAGACATATCAGATTCGTACCACACCGTCAGCGGCTTCGCTGCCACAGACTGTGGTGATGACATCTCCTGTGAGTCTTACATCTCCGACAACTAAGACAGATGACCCTCAGTTGAAAAGAGAAATAAGGTTGATGAAAAACAGAGAAGCTGCTCGAGAATGTCGCAGAAAGAAGAAAGAATATGTGAAATGCCTGGAAAATCGAGTTGCAGTCCTGGAAAATCAAAATAAAACTCTAATAGAAGAGTTAAAAACTTTGAAGGATCTTTATTCCCATAAAAGTGTTTGATATTTAAGAAAATATTTTTGTGGACTTGCCTAAAAATTAAATGGATTTTTTCTTTTTAAAAAAAAAAAAAAAAATAAATAAATTTATTTTGAAAATCTACTTGGCTTAATTGAGTGACTCACGAAAAGAGCAGCATCCCATGTAGCAGACACAGAGGAGCACCCCCCTGTTGGCCTCCTCTTAACTTTAGCAGTGGCTTGGGGCTTTGCCTTGAAGTGCCAGGCAAGTATTGGTGAGACTCAGTCGCCATGAAAAGCAGCTCTTGACATTTCTGACAGTGACACAGCCTGCTGCTGGATTTGACAACAGCGAACTGCTCACTTTTAGATATCTGTCCATGGAGCCCGCGCCAGCCAAGGGCACATGATGGGGTGGCAAGGCAGGGTGAGTCACCCACAGACGTACCCTAGGCTGGAAGCCAAGAGGCCTCAGGTCTGGTCTTGCGTTATTTGTTGTCTTCTGTGCGTGTGTGTGTGTGTGTGTGTGTGTGTGTGTGTGTGAGATCTTATTTTCAGCATTCGAAACCCAGCACTGCTGTCTACCTCTTGTACATTCAGTGGCACCTTCTGTGCTGGGACCTGTGCAGGTTACCAGAAACAAAAGGGAAGCAGCCATAGCAGCTGCCCTCAGGGGGTCACGGAGGGCACACAAAAGGACAGTTGGTCCAATTGCAGCCCTTCGTGCAGCTTGAGAAAGCAACGTGATGTTTGAGCTGAATCATCAAATATGAGTCAGACTTTCCAGGTAAGACAAGGTCAGAAGACATTAGAGCTGGAGTACAACCTGTTCAAAAGCAGCTCGAGAGCCTCGCAGAGCCCGGGAACGGCACCTTGCAGGGAGCGTAGTCTCTGATGTTCTGTGTGATCTTTCTCAGGACAGATCCCGCCTCTCTCCTCAGCATCCCCACCAGTAAAATCTAATTCTTCCCGGAACACTTTTTATACGGGTCCATCTGGGAGGTTGCTAGGAAGAATCCAATGTTGCCCAGGCCTTTAGGTCTGAGAGGGGGAAATAATCTGCAAAATCTAAAAGCTCCAGTTGTCAGTGGCCTAAAACGATGGCTCTCTTGAGAACAGCTGGAGGGCTTGTGAAATCAGAGATTGCTGGGTCCTCCGCTCTCCTCGCTCAGGCATCTGGAGAAAGTTCTCAGAATTTGCATTTCTAAGTTCCAGGTGATGCTGCTGCTGCTGGTCTCAGACCGCCCTTTGAGCAAGCCCGGCCAGGAAAAACAAAAAGGACTCAGAGCTGGAGATTAGGAGGAGACCTCACACTGAGCAGGGCCTTGAAGACCCGGTAGAATTTCCGCGGCAGGAGCCTGCGTGGAGGGGGTGGGTTCGGGGGAAAGAGACTGTGTGTGCTGTCTTTGCTGACCTACACACATCCCAGGCCCCATCCGTTCCCCAGATTCAGCTCCTCTCGTTTGAATTCAATCAACCCTCCGAGCTGGCTCTCCCTGGGGTCGGCTTGTCTGGATCTTGGGTGGGAAACAAACTGCCCACCCTGTGCAGCAGGAGCCCCCCTCCCCTAGGGCAGCTGAGGAGGAAGGAAGCTGGGTAGGCTGACGCACAGACGGAAATAGTCTGAGCTCACTGCTGTTCCCAAGCACACATCGACCGGCAATTATTTCTTGTAAATTGCTTTCCCGGTTATGTTCAGAACCTGTGCGTGTGTGTGTGTGTGTGTGTGTGTGTGTGTGTGTGTGTCAGAGAACAAACACTGAGAGAGACCTGGGAGGAGGTGGATAGCTGGGGAGTGGTATCCAGAGGGAGGGGAGCCCATGTCTGAATCTTCACCAAGAACCAGGGAACTGTTGACTCTTAAAACTTGAAATATTAGAACCTTCCATTCACTTTTTTAAAAAATCTTTATTGTTCATATTCTTACAGATGTTCCTCTCCCCCCCCCTGCCCCCTGTTGCTCCCCTCCACCAGGTTCCCACCCCACCCTCTGCCCATTCCCCACCCATTATTGTCCTCATCCATAGGTGCACAGTTTATGTTCAGTCTCTTCCCACATCCCCCTCTCCCCTTTTCCCCAAGAATCGTCAGTCCACTCCCCTTCCATACCTCTGATTCTATTATATTCACCAGTTAATATTGTTCATCAGGTTTTTTAATTCCCTTGGCTTTTAGTTTCATTTGTTGATAGTTATGTATTTGTTGATCATAATTTTTATCTTTATCTTCTTCCTCTTCCTAAAGAACCCCTTTTAGCAATTCATATAATTCTGGTTTGGCGGTGATGAACTCCTTTAGCTTTTTTTTTTTTATTAGTGAGGCTCTTTATCCAGCCTTTGATTCTGAGTGATAGCTTTGCTGGGTAGAGTATTTTTGGCTGTAGGTTCTTACTATTCATCACCTTGAATATTTCTTGCCATTCCCGTCTGGCTTGCATGTTGAGAAATCAGCTGACAATTGTATAGGTGCTCCTTTATAAGTAACTACCTGCTTTGCTCTTGCTGCTTTTAATATTCTCTCTTTGTCTTTTTGCTCTTGGAATTTTAATTATAATTTGTCTCGGTGTGGTCCTCTTTGGATTCCTTTTGTTTGGAGATCTGTGCACTTCCTGAACTTGTAAGTCTAATTCTTTCACCAGGTGGGGGAAGTTTTCTGTCACTATTGCTTTCAGTATGTTTTTGATATCTTGCTCTCTCATCTTCTGGGACCCACATAATTCTGATGTTGGTTCGCTTGAAGTTGTCCCAGAGGTTTCTTACATTATCTTCAACTTTCTGGATTCTCTGGCCTTCTTGCTTCTGCGGAGGAGTGTTTTCTGGCTCTTTATGTTCCAAATCTTTGACTTGATTCTTGCGATCCTCCATTCTGTTTTTAGGACTCCATAAAATATTTTTTATTTCAGACAATGTATTCTTTATTTCTTGTTGATCCCTTATTAATTCTAGTTGATCCCTTTTCATATCCTCATAGGTCTTGTTTATTTTATTGGCCTTTTCTAGGAGATTCTTGAACAACCTTATAAGTGTGGTTTTGAACTCTATATCCAGTCGCTTTTTGTCCTCCATTTCTTTCGTTTGTGATCTATTTCGTTGTCTCGGCATTTTTGCAGCTTCCCTGATGGGGCAGAGTTTCAGGGTGGAGCCTACAGCCTTGGCTTCCATCAGCCCTGCCCTATGCAGCTCCTGAGTCTCAGTGTTCCTCAGGGTCCTTCAGTACTTGCTGCAAGCACCTCTGAGAGAAAGGTGCCCTCGAGTTTCGCCTGCTACCGAACAGTCTAGTCTCTCCCCCAATGGGCCTGGAACTGGGGTTCAGTTCAGTTGGAAGTGGGATTGGAGGTGGCGTTCAGAGCAGTCTGGAGCCCCTGTCTCCTTCCTGCCAGAGCAAACCCGCAGCACAGCCAACCGTCTCTGCACGCAATGTGCGTGCCTCCGGGGGCTCTGCCTTTCGCCGCTTCCCTGGGGTTCCGCCTTACAGCCCAGCTCCCTCTGGTTGAGCCTGGGTCCCCAAGGTCTGGCCTAGAACTGGAGTTCAAAGCAGTCGGAACTGGGGCTCAGCACAGTTGGAGTGTTTATCTCCTTCCCACTAGGGAACTCCAGGCAGGCACTCGCCGTCCCGCCCTTCCTCTCCGGCTCCGTCCTCTCCGCGCGCGCTGCGTGTCTCTGTACCTTAGGCTTTTCCAGCTCCTCCGCGCTTCCTTCTGGTTTTCTCCTTGCTTCTCGTTGTAGAATTTCCAGTCAGTCAACTTTCCTGTAGTTCTGGGTAATGTCCATTTTATATTTTAGTTGTATTTTATTGAAATTGTTGTGTGCGGCTGCGGTTAGGTGTTTACCTGTGCAGCCATCTTGGATCCTCTCTTCCATTCACTTTTATAACACTCCTGTCAGGGGGTTTTCCGGCCTCTTCTCAAACATTCACATTTTGTTTTGTTTTGTTTTGTTCCTTCAACGTTGATCGACAAGGATGCTCTGCCAGGATATGAGCAAAATGAAGTCCCAGTCCCTGCCTTCCAGGAGCCCGTGCCTATGGTGTCAATAGGAGGTTCCCTCACCCAGCCAAGAGCTCAGGGAAGGCTTCTTGGAGTAAGTGGTGCCTGAATTAGGTCTTGAAATACCCACAGACAAGTGAAAAGGTGTTTGTGATACAAGACAGGGAATAGCATTCAAGGCAGAAGGAACAGCATGATAAGCAGCTCAGTTTGGTGGACACTATAGACAAGATGGGGGAGAGTGAGAGATGAAGCTTCAGGGGAACAGAGGTCAAGTCCTTAAGTCTTTACCATATTGCCCAGTGCATGAAATTTGTGTGTGTGTGTGTGTGGGGGGGGTGTCCCCTCAGCCCAGCCCGCACCCTTTCCAATTTGGAACCCCTCAAGGGATGTCCTGGTAGGATTGGGCCTAAACAGGCAGTCGGACATCCCTCTCACAATCCAGGACTGCTGGCTCCCAACTGCTCACCTACCTGCTTTCTGAATGCCTCTAACCGCTTCTGCCTGCCAGCCTGATTACCCCTAACTACTCCCCTGCAGGCCTGGTTCCCCCTCCCCCAACTTCCCTCCCCTTCAGGTCTGGTCCCCCCCCCCCCAACTGCCCTCCCCTGCAGGCCTGGTCCCCCCAATTGCTCTCCCCTGCAGGCCTGGGTTTGCCCCAGCTACCCTTTCCTACAGGCCCAGTTGCCCCCAACTTCACTCCTCTGCCAACCTGGTCACCCCCAACTGCCCTCTCCTGCTAGCCATCTTGTGTCCACATGGGGGCAGCTATCTTTGACCACATGGGGGCAGCTATCTTGTGTGTTGGAGTGATGGTCAATTTGCATATTACTCTTTTATTAGATAGGATGGGAAACCAGGATTCAGAGAAACAACATTCTGGTACAGAGCGGAGCATTGACTAAAAGCAATGCAGCTAGTTTCAAACACCAGCCCTGCCAGTAACGTGTAGGCAGCCCTCACCCTGTCTCTGGGCCTTGTTCTCCAGGTCTATCACCGGGGGCAGGAGTCACTTCGCCATCCCGCTCAGAGGGCTGTCCTAGGGCAGAGCTCTAGCTCCCAGGAGGCCT